TAGCACCCAAATATCATCATTTTTTTTTTTTACTACCACTTCCCTGCTTCTCTTAAAAACACACTGTTAGGCAGCACCATGTAACTGACAGCCCCAGGTTTGAAATAACACTATTATTTTTGTTGTTGTTGTTTTGTTTTGTTGTTTGTTTGTTTGTTTGTTTGAGACAGGGTCTCACTATGTAGTTGAGACTGACCTGGAACTCACTATGTAGCCCATGCTGGTCTCAAACTCACAGCGATCCTCCTGCCTCAGCCTCCCAGCCACTACGCCCAGCTGGGTTCCCATTATCCTATGTCAAGGTTGTGGCTACCAAACTCAGTTATTGCCCCTGTCATATTTTTCACAGACTGCAGTTAGGCAAGTTAATAACATCTGCTTGGCAGCACCTAGATGATCACGATGTTGCAGCCAGAGAAAGTGTCAATATGGGTGGGCTGACTCTAGTAGGATGACTGCTGAACCCAAAGGAGTCACCGAATGCTGACCTGTGTAGTCTCCACTGCTAAGTCCAGTCCTGTGCTTAGCCTCACAGTTCACCCTCACTGTGTTAGCTGGCTGAAAAGGTTGGGGGAAGAGGTCAGCCCTTCACCATCTCTTCGGGATCATCATCCACAAACCGAGGTGGTGTCTACCATCCAGAAATGAGCATCAAGGCCAAAGAAGTAAAGCTGACTCAAGCATCCCCTCTTCCTTACTTCATGTAAATTCTTCCACTTGCCTGAGCATGGCAGAGCTCCTCCTGGGGTCCTTCTTCCATTGGTTGTTATCTTTGATGACATTAGTGCCCTACGAAATGGAAGGTTCCTCTGAGGGGAGAGATGGGAGGCTGCGTCTAGGACAAATCCGCACTCTCTCCATGTGAGCATGGCATGGAGCTCCATGTCTGACATCCTCAAGCTCTTCACCTATCGTAAAAGAAAGATTAACTTCTGCACTGTGCTACTGCATAGGCCTAAAACCAATGAACTACTAGAGCAGGAAGTTCAGCTTACGAGGGTGCTTTTCTATCAAGCAGGAAACCCCAAGTTTCGTCCCCAGCACCACACAAATAATGAATAGATAGACAAATAAATACTTTAAGGCAAAAATCAATGGACTGTTTTGTTAAAGATTATACGCATAATATTTAATAGTAATGATTATACAAGTCTCATTATAACCATAAAAGGCCTGTGTAAAAATTCAGCGTAATACTAACATGGGATTGGGAGAAACAAAAGCCAACTTTCTGAGAATCAGTCTTGGAATACCATTCAGAAATGGAAACGGGAAGGATCTGCCCTTCTGCGGTGTGTTCATGGCAAAAGCCTCTGAGTCACAGGGTGACGTGAGGACTCTACATTCATCGACCACTCAGCGGGAGGATGTATGCAAGTTTGGTAAGGTTAAATGTGTGCACGCGTGAGGAAGTTGATGAAAAATGTTCTGCTGCAGGAGCAGCACAAGTGAACAGGAAAAGAGCCAAGCAAGTGGCTGGCATGGAGAATACTCGAAAAACAGTAGCTGTGATGTAGCCCACAGCAATTACTTTCTTGCAGAAGCCTGACTTCACTTACATATAGAGGTGATAATGGGAGCAAAGTGAAAGTTTCTTAGACTGTAGGTAGCACCTCAATGATCTAGTCTTATTCTGGTGAGCTTGGTGAGGGTGCCTGTTGTAGCTTTCTCTGGGCTCAGTCTGCCCCAGCATCTAGTGCTAGGTCCCTAACAATCAGGATCTGTAAGCTCTACAACACTGCGTCAGCCTGGCCCGGGCCCTTTGAGTATAAGACATAACTTGGGGATAGGAAGTATTGAGAGTGTGAGACTGTAATCACAGACTGCAGGATAGTGAGGTACAGAAAGTCTGAGTAACCTGCTTGACCAGTGTCAGTCATAAGAGACTGCTGCCACTTCTGAATGGCAATTCAGAGTTCCTTCTCTTCAGAGTATAGCATCTATGATATAAGGAGAAAATAAAAGTATTTCCAGGTCATAAAACAAAACTTTATGTGGATAGACAATGAGACATTAAAGATATTGTCAAGATATATTCTGCCTACAAATTACACAGACCTAAGAGGGATGCCTCGTCACCTTCAGAATGGATAGTTTCCTGTTGTACGTCTTGTTAGATGAATGATCTCCAGACCCAAGGAATCATGTCCGGGATTGATGCCCCTACAGTCAATAGGGAATCCACAGTGGTGAATGAAAGTCCCTCTATTAGGTTATAGGGAAACATAAAATTCTGTACTCTATAGAAACTCTGTACCCCATATCCTCTTATTTTGCCTATGCAAATCACAGATATAAACAGGATTTTTTTTCCTCATTGAGTTTATTGGTACATTTTAGGAATGCAGTACAGTTACACTCATCATTGGGATCTTGTACCTCTATATGACAGGTCTTGGCTCTCATTTTTTCCTTGTCCCTGCCCTCCCTTCAACACCTCCTCCCCTCCCCATTTAAAAACATTTTATTTCCATTTTTCATTTTCTCCTATTTTTTTCTTTCCTTTATTACCTTTCCCCTGCCCTTCCCACTTTCCCTGCACCTTTAGCCCCTTTCTTCCTATTTCACAATGTCAGTTATCTCATTAGGATCTTATGTACTATTACAGTTTCTCACACCAGGGAAACTGTTCGGTATTTACACATGTGTGACTTATTTATTTCACTTAGGAGCATATCCTCAATATGTATCCATTTTCCTATGAATGAATCTAATTTCTCATTCTTTATGGCTGAGTAGTATTCCATTTTATAGAAAAACCTCACCTTCATTATCCAGTTTCCAACTGATGGGCAAATGGGCTGTTTCCAAGTTTTAGCTATTACAAACTGTGCTGCTATAGACATGGGTACACATATATCACTGTGGTATGATACTTTTAATTCTTTTGGAAAGATACCCAGCAGAGGAATGGCTGGGTCAAATGGAACTTCTAATCCTAGTTCTTTGAGGTATCTCCATATTGATTTCCACAGTGGTTGCACCAGTCTGCACTCCCAGCAACAATGGAGAAGGGTTCCTTTTTCGCCACAACCCTGCAAACATTTGTTATTATTGATTTCTTGATAGCAGCCATTCTTTGTGGGGTGAGGTGGAATCTGTGTTGTTTTCTTCTGCATCTCTTGAATGATCAGTGATGTGGAACATTTTTTCGTATATTTACATGCTGCTTAGCACTTCAAAAGAAACCATCAACAGGAGCTAAGAGACAACCTACAATGTGGGAAAAATTTTTTACCAGCTGCTCCTCAGACAAAGGACTATTATCTAGACTATATAAAGAACTCAAAACAATCAGCCCCTCCCCAAATATAAGGACCTGATTCAAAAATGAACATCTTAAATGAACAGACATTTCTGAGAAAAAGAAGTAAAAGCAGCAAGTAAATAAATGAAAAAATCCACATCACAGGAACTTTTAAAAGACCCCAAGTTCCACGGTGAAAAGCATTTCTGGGGAATGAGGCCAGCCTTCTGTCTGGGCCAGGTGGGAGTGGCAATGCGGAAGACCAGTCTTGCCAAATAAAGTCCTTCTTTGTTTGGAGGCAGCAAAATGGCCAGAACCTTTGGCAAACATGTGGGGTGGAACCCTGGACTTGAATCTCAGGAAGCTCTTTTTCACCAAGCTATTTCTTCTTACGCAGAGCTGTGCTACAGGAGTAGTGGCAGCATAAGAATTCAACTTCCTCTTTCTTTTTAAGCCACCTCAAGATTATATCATAGGCATCACTGTATCAGGGGTCTGAATTCACAGCTAGTGGGTGTTTTCTGGATAATAGAATTGTCAGACTGTTCAAGGTACCTTCGATTCCCAGGGATTAGGAAAATATAATCAAGGTGATTTAAGAGTCTTTGAAAATGGATTCCATTAAGTAGACAAAAATCACTTTGGCCATTTGAAAAACCAAATAGCATTTTAATTGGCTAGTGTTGGTTGTACATGGGCAGGCAGGTTTATCTGTAAATTCTTGAGCCTAAAAAAGAAGACAGGTGATGTCTCAAAGTGAAGCAAGCAGCACGGTGGCTTGCCAGAAGACACCTGTCTTAAAGAAGAAGCAGGGATAATGAAACCCTTCTGAGTGTGGTCAGTGGTAATGTTTGTGTGACAACGTGACTGTGCATAATTCCTCTGAATTAAATATTTAAAATGGTTAAATGGTAAAATTTATGTTTTGTACATTTTTCCCTAATAAAACAAACAAGCAAAAAAGGATGAGCTGTAAGCCTTTGGATCACATGTGAAGGAAAAGATAAAGTTTTCCAGAAATAGTTCAGACCATTGAGAGCTGTGAGGCATATTTCTAGTGGGCCAAATATTTCTTGGGTCATAAGTTCTTTCGCTTTGGCTTGAAGAAGAAATATGAAATGAACTACATATAAATCTGAGTTTTCCCTGTCACAGTTAACAATGGCACAGTTGAAGAGTGAAAGCTATAGGAATTTCATTAGATTTGGAATAGGACAACCATGGAATTAGAACTCAAGCCAATCAATTAGCAATCAAGTGGGTGATTTGGAGATTATTTTCTTCCTCGCTTCTCTTTTTTTAAAGTCTGTTTTTTTTTAATCTATAAAATAGAGATAATTAATGAAATGTACATAGCATAGTGACTGAACTGAAATAATGACAACTATTACTTCAATAAAAACCTTAGAAGAGGAGATCATCAGTTCTCGCCCGGTCCTCAGTGATTATGATTAGGAAGACTGGGATTTCATTGTATTATCCACTCTGTTAAACTTGTAGGACTTCTATGATGTGCCAGGATTGCTCTTTTTATAAATTTTGGCTGGTCACTCAGTGTGGGGGAGAGGAGTTTCTTAAAGGATAATGTACAGTCTTTCAAAAAAAAAAATGCGACAGGCAAGGAATTGTCACACAAGTCAGATGAAATCGGAGATTTTTTTTTTTTCCTGAAAGACTCGGTGGAATGGCGTGTGTGGCTTTGTGCCCTGCTCCTTTGCCCCGGGGCCTCACCAGGTCTCTTTGTCCCCCGTAGACCTTCTCGGGAAACATGAACGCTGACAGCGTGGTGCGTCACAAGCTGCTTCACTCAGTGAGGGCCCGCTTTGTTCGCTTCGTGCCCCTGGCGTGGAATCCGAGTGGCAAGATCGGCCTGCGGGTGGAGGTGTACGGATGCTCTTACAGTGAGTAGCACATGTGCCGCTGAACCCTGCCGTTTGTCTCTGCGCAGCTCCAGACACAGGACCCGGGCCCTGCACACTGAAAAAGAACACGGTTGCACGCAAAGTTATTTCTATGCCTTCAATAGTGTGTGTGCTTTAACCAAAAACAGGACAAATATACTTCTCTTTAAGGCTCAAGACATTTTGACACAATGATGCAGCAAGGCTCAAGCAAAAGTTTAATATTATGAGCTCTTGGTGGGGGGGTTGTCATTTGCAATAAAAGAACTTGTCACATTCGTTTTTTCCCAGAAATGAGGTGAGTTGATATGAAGGTCTTCTTAAACTACAAACGTAAGGGAAAAGCCTTCTCCTTCACTTGTTCTGGAAGGAGGAGGATGATTTCAATGCAGTGCTACTCACAGAAAGCTTCTCTAGAATTACGATGTGCGCCCGTTTTTTTGCAAGTTGTTTATGCTGAATTTGAAAGTTGAGCTCTACCTTGCACATACGGAGAGCTGGAAACATGGGTGAGGTTGGTAATCACTGTAGAAGAAGAAGAAGAATCCGAATCATGCAGAGAAGCTCCCCATCCCATAATTCTCCCCCATAGGCTTCATACTAAAATCCAAAATTGCTTCATCGGAAGTTAATTTTCTGCTATAAGCAATGAGATTCCTAGTGTTACAACCATTGACCTCTAATGAGTAAACACATTTGATTCCCCAGGATTTTTATTTAAGTGAGTTCAGCAGGTTTCTGGTTTAGGTTGTGGGAGTGCCTGATATTGCACATGCCCTGTTTCCCACACTGAGATCAACCAGAAGCCTGACTTAGAAGCTCTGTAAAAACACATTTCCCTAGTTACACTATACACATGCAAAATTAATATTTCTGGGAATGGGGACTCAGAAAGCAAATGTTAATAGCTCTCCAGGCAAATTATGGGTATAAGGTGTGTCTAGTAAAAATAAAATCCTGCACACAGGAGATTTGCTTGTGGAATGACTGCATTTATCTTGAACAAGCACTTTCAGACATAATGTGATTTAGAATACAACACCAACAAACCATGCGGCCATGGAATTATTTCCTTCTTCTCTTGCTATCAAGTTGCCACTACGCCAAAGATTTAGTTTTTGCTTTTGCTTTTGTTTGCTTTTAAATAGAGTGTAACAGTTAAATGCTATAAGAGATAAGAAAAATGATTTATATTATTTTCCAATAGTCTATTTAGGCCTAATCATTTCCCTACTCTTTAATATGTTCTCATACTTTATATTTTAGCATGGTTCCTGTTGGATCTTTCTCCTCAATCTTCACACTCATTGCTCACCTGCACTGTCTGCTTATACAGACTTACAATTTCATATAAACCACAGACTGCAGGCTTAAATGATGTCTTTGAGCTGCATGTCTCACTTTCTCTGATATGGACCCTTTTAGGAATCGGGTGACAACAAGAGATTCTTTCGTCAGAAAAAGTGTCCACAATACCGTGTAAGGCCTTCCAAGATACTTAGAGGTCCTTGAGTCTGCAAGGGTTCAGTTGTGGATTAAACTGAGAACTCCTGACTTTGAGGGATCCCAGGCCTACCTGTTCTTTGTCAGCTCTACACCTAGAACATCCTCTGTGAGGCTGAGTTTCCTTAGGGGAAGCATGGCAAACAGTGTGACGTTAACTACCTCAGTGAGCTGCTGGACAGAAAATGTTCTTTCCTGCAGCACAGCTCACAATGGAACCCTATAATCTTCAACTGGAATTGGGTTTTTTTCCCTTGGGATGGTGGGGAAGAGCACATTTTTTAACCTCTATTTAAAGCCAATGCTTAACCATGCCTCTACATCTAGCTCTTTCTTCAGCATGGTCTTACCTTCCTCTCAACTGGATTTTTCCAATAAGCGTAGAGCTTTACTGCATATGCCACTGAACAAAATAATAATAACAAACCCCCATGGCCCTATTAGAGCCTCTTCTTCTCTTTCTTCCTCTTCTTCACAGAACAGTTTCTTTCTTCGGTCACTATCCCAACCTGCTCTCCTCCCTTTGTCTTTAGACATCTGGGGGTCAGTTGAATGCATCAATGTGGCCAGGACTTAACCCCCAGTTATTCAACCCAAAACTGTTCTACATGTTGCTGTGATGGGGTTGGGGTCAATTAATTCAGATTATCCTAGAGAATCTTGTAGTCCTGATTCAGTCCGTTCAGACATTTCAAGAGCAGCTCTGAGATTTCTCTAAGGAAGAAGAAATCTGACGTGGTCAGCAGCTTCAGCTGCTGCCTGAGTTTCTGTATATCTTCCAGATAGACCTGTCCTCTGGACTTCACATGTTTTTAAAGAGCAGCAAAACTTTGTAAGCCACATCTTGCAGTAAATCTTCCAACATATGTACGCATCCTACTGGTTCCACATTGTTGGTTCCCCTGACCGAGGAAGAACGTTCCACCCAAACTACTTTAGCGAAGATACATCAGTGATACCCACACACACAGATCCAAGGGGCCACTTCACTTTTTGCCTCCATCTCTCAAAGTATCTGGTTCAAATAACAATTTTGTTTTTGAGAGTCCTGGCCTTTCGTCCTATCTCACTTGCTTCACTTGCTTCTTCTCAGAGCTTAGTTTCAGACCCTCCTGTATCTTCTTTCTACTCCCTAGGACTAAGCTAGATTCACAGAGCTCTAAGAATTCAAACAACACCCATGTGCTGGTCAACTCACATCTCTACCTCCTGGCCAGAGACCCAGAATTTTATATACATGCAATCGCCTACTTGATATCACCACTTGAAAGTATGATAAATATCTACATTTAGTAGGGCAGAAGTGGAATTCTTCATTACTATTTACCTCGGAGACTGGCCCACACCTACTGCTGTATGTCAGTAAATAGTACAAGTATCGCCCCCTGCAGGAGGCACTCGGATTGTTCTTCCAAATGCCTTCTGTCCTGCTAAGTGAGCTACAGATCACCTTACAGCCCAGCTCCTTTCTGTAAATCACATGTGAGATATGTGAAACTCTCTCCTCACACTGTGAACAGAATTCTCTGCCTGTGCCCCATAGCTTCAGATGTGAATTCCCTGCCATACCCAGTCTCCCAGACTCATGCATCACACAGGTACCAAAGTGGTCATTCTAAATGAGAAAATAAAATTATATCATTTCCCTCTCTGATTCAATTGCAATGAAATGCACACTCCTCAACTAAATGCCCTGCTGAATGTTTCTTGCCTCCCTCTTCAACTGCCTTTCACTTCTGTCTAGCCCACAGCCCTCTTGCTATTCTTAAAATATACTGGGATTTTTGTATTTCAGGACCATTGAATTCCCAAACAACTTTTCCGAGAATTGACACAGTTCACTGTTCCTGTTGGTCTAATTCTCAGTTTACCCTGGCCTCCCCTCTAGGCACACTTCCCTACTTTTGGGGCACCTGCTATTGACACGTGGTTATATGTTGTGCCTTTACTTACTTTACAGCACAAATGAGAATCCCACTTATTTGTTTTTTCTTTATTTGTTTGCTGAGGGCCTCCCCAAGTTCCTGCACTTAATGTAAATTTAGAGCCGTGAGGTAAGGCTATTTGATTATTAAGTGCCAGAACCTAAAACCCATAAAGAGCTAATTGGTAAATAGGCATTGATGCATAAATACACTGGTCAGCCCTCATTCTGTCAGTTAGGTAATGAGGTTACTTGTTGATAATATAACTGAAGTTTGTTTGGAAGTGATTTGATTTTATGGACTTAATAAATTTCATCAAAATTTTGTTTAAATAAGTTGCTTAAAATGAGTAGGAATTATAGGTCTATAACTTCTTAAGATGCATGAACTTTTATCATTTTGGACAAGTTGGCACATTCGGTCTTTCACTCATTTTCTACTCTACTCTACTCTACTCTAACTGTCACTAACCCTTTAGCACTTAGTATATTGAGCAACATGCAAAGCCCTAGAGATGTAGGGAAAAATGAGGATCATATTCTGAACTTTGAGAAGCCCCATGCTTGGACTTTGAAGCCCCTTTCAAACATTGATTTATTTGTCCTATAGTGGTCTGGTATTCATCTCCTCTACCTTGGCTCTAACCTTTGCGCGGGTTCCAGTTGTGACCCCGAGGTATCCAGAGCTGGGCCGGGTCCTGAGCAGACGGTGTGCACCCAGGGAGTGAGTGATGAATGAGGCACACAGGAAGAGCCTGGACTGGGTCACAGGCAGGGAAGAGACATGGAGATTAGGCTGATGTGTACCCAGTGGGAGGTGCATGGGAGGTCGAGGGAGTGTGGGCACGGAGGATGGGTCAGAGGCCCTCATCCGTGTTAGCCAGTTCCCAAACTTGAGGTCACCCTCTGGCACCAAGGAGCCCCACACATGACTGTAGGTTTATTTTACAGGCCCCAGTCACTCAGTGCTACTTCCTGGTGAGCCTTCACCATCTCTAGCAATGTCTCCCCATTCACTTCCCTCGCCTGTCACTTCCCGAGCTGTTCTGGAAGTTTCCTGATTTTCCAGAACCTTCTGAAAGGACCGGTGATGGTTCTGACAAAGGCTCTGGGACAACCAGCCCTTCTGAAGACCTGCAGTATTCCACTCCCACATTTCCTGCATGCCCCATATCTGACATCCACTCTGAGCTTCTTGCATACCATACTGACTATCTACTGCTACTTCTGTCTATAGAATGTTTTTTTCTCCTTTATCAGGAAGACTCCTACTTGGCATTCATCACAGCTCAGTTATCGCCTGCTTTTAAAGTCTTCCTGACTCCAGGACTCCACCAGCCTCCTCCCCTACCATGTACAAAGCTTCAGTCTTAGGTCTTCTTGATGAGGCTGCCGTGCTTCCTGATCATCTGCCTGATCTGGAAGGCTGGAATTAGCCCCTGCCTCTTTTCCTTGGAGCCACATCCATGTCTGGTAACTATTTGCTCCAAGAATATCTAGTCAGTGATTTTTTTGTTATTTTTTAATTGAACTGAATTTAAATATTACAGTACTCTTTCTAATGGATGACTTC